ATGCTGAAAATTTGAGAAAGCATATTAAAAAAGAGTACTGCCCTAACTTATATAAACTTTTCCAAGCAGCAATAGTACTCCCAGTGAGTTGCGCCGGCTGCGAGAGAAGTTTTTCTGCCATGAGGCGAATAAAAACGTGGCTTAGAAGCACAATGCTTCAAGAACGATTCTCTCACATGTCACTACTCAACATAGAGAATGACATTGTTAAAAAAAAATTTCAGCCGAAAAGTGTTGAGCCGATTTGCAAAAAAAAAAATAGAAAACTAACAAGGAAACCCCCCCAACCCGACCCCACCCCAAATATAAAATAAGGGTTGCAATCCCTTGGGTCATAAACACACCTCATATCTTCGACTTCTTATGACAAATATTTTCCACTTGGTTTTATTAAAAAATATCAATTAGAATCTGACATATGATAAAAAACAATTTTCGGGGGTAAAATTTAGGGGTGGTTTTTATCCCTTTGAAAAATCCTGAAACACCCCAACTGAAATATTTGATGGAGTTAACGGAAACGCTTTTCTTTATTTTTTTGAGCCCATACCCCGGTTTTTATGCAGAAAAAAAGCATAAAAAATATAGTTTTTTCAAAATATAAAATAAGGGCTGCAACCCCTTGGGTCATAAACACACCTCATATCTTCGACTTCTTATGACAAATATTTTCCACTTGGTTTTATTAAAAAATATCAATTAGAATCTGACATATGATAAAAAACAATTTTCGGGGGTAAAATTTAGGGGTGGTTTTTATCCCTTTGAAAAATCCTGAAACACCCCAACTGAAATATTTGATGGAGTTAACGGAAACGCTTTTCTTTATTTTTTTGAGCCCATACCCCGGTTTTTATGCAGAAAAAAAGCATAAAAAATATAGTTTTTTCAAAATATAAAATAAGGGCTGCAACCCCTTGGGTCATAAACACACCTCATATCTTCAACTTCTTATGACAAATATTTTCCACTTGGTATTTAATTGAGTACCGTCTAAAAGTAAAGTTCAAAGACTGGTAACTAGATTAAAGGACGGAGAAAAATTAATTGATTATTTTTTAACGTATTACCAAAGTTTGATATTAATGTTAATAAAAACATGATTGTAAACAAAACCAGTTTTTTTTGTCAAATTAGCCCCTCCTAGCCCCCCCCCCCCCCCCAAAAAA